CGTGATGGTCGGGCGTGTGGGCGGGGTCGGGGGTAGGGGGCGCGTGACGAGGCGACAGCGCACTTCGCGGTACTTACGCACGCCCGTCGACTCCATTCGCGACGCCGTGTTTACGGTGTCGCCGAAGAGGCAGTAGTGCGGCATCTTCTGGCCCACGACGCCCGCGCACACAGGCCCTGCGGCAGCAGAAGGAGAGGTAGTGAGACGTGAGCAACTCCCTCGGCACTCACTACTCTGCTGTCTACGCACAAAATGGAAGTTCTGAGATTGATTAGTTGGTGCCTCCGGGCACGTCAATAATTGTGATAATTCTTCGTAATTGTAGTATCCTTTGGTGGCATCGTTTTGTCCCCGCTGGATGGTGAGATCCGACACCAACCTACATGTCGTTTTTTTTGTTTTCTCTTTTCCATCTTTCTCCGAGAATGGGGCACCGCTCCATCTGGGACAAGTTCCAAGCTCTCAAATAATATCTTGGTGTGCGATAGAGTAGCGCGTGAATGCACGCGTGTGTGTGTAAGAGGAGAGGAGGGATAAGGATGAGGAAGGAAAAATCACACGGTTTGCGAAGACTTGGCTCCGGAACGCACAAAGCATCAGGGGCATCTGTTATATTTCGATTTACTGCTTTAAAACTAGTGTGCGTACATAGGAATTCAAAAATAAGGGCTTTATTGATTTTATGGCATTGATTAGTAATTTTTCAAATTATTCTGTGGTACTCAGCGTAAACGTCAGATCAGAATTGTCAGTGATGGCGTTTTTAGTACGCTCCAATGTTGCACTCGTCTAATGTACGATACATTTATGATTGCGTGTGTTTCATTAGAATGCCTGAAAAACCTGCTGTATCTAGAAAGTTCCTGCAAAATTAAACTTCCATCCCACAATCCCCATTTCGACGACATACTCGTAGTGATGGGCTCGTTGCCTCGGGTGACGTGAATCAACGTTATGTTTGTCCACTGCGAATGTGGGAATGACGTCACCCGGGGTCCTCATGGAGGTATCTTCGTGTCAGTTAAACACTAAACCATTTATTACAACAAAAGATTATCAATAGCTGCTTGTAACGTAAAAGGAGCATTGAAATAATTATTTGGCAATACTTTAAAGAGAAGTATTGAATATTTGCTTTGGAAAAACCATGTTTATTATTGAAATTAGCATATCGCATGAGTTTTCAGTTTCACAAGTTGGCAATACCTAATATGATGAGGTTAACTACGGCGCATGTGCTTTTCTTTCTTTCTTCGTTGAATATTAGTCCACATTGTTTATATTGAAAGTGAAATAGTTTGTAATTGTGGGTGAGACAAAATTTTCTGTTAGGACGATTGTAATCTTATTCTGTTAGGACGACAAGAGAAACAGTGCTTACAATAGCATGCTTTTTGCAACAATTTCAACGCTGAGAGCCAGTACTTCTGGTTGCAGTGAATTTCGCGACAGTTTTTTTATAAATTACCCCTCAGAAAGTCAGGTGTAGAATGTTTCGTTTAATACCATATGATTGCTCAAAAATTCACTACGTATTGAATAAAAGAAAAAGATACCTTCTCTATGTCTGCGCAAGATTTTTTTTCCACAAGAGCCTAAACCTTTTTTATCGAAATAGTCCACAGCCATCGGGAGCCCTCGGCTGACCTGGGACAACAAGGCGGGAGCAGTAGGTGAAAAAGGCGCAAGCCTACAGACAAGTAGTGGCCGCAAGGCACTCAAGCGTTCATGTTGAAATATTAGGCCGGTAAGTGCCAAATTGTTTCACACGGTTTTGAAGAACAGAGATTTTACTTTTATTTAAAGTATTTTTGAGGGTACTTAACCGTTGTCGACTTCCGTGGCCCACTTCCGCTGCCGGGTGAAACCGGGCCAGTCTGTCGTTCTCAATGGGTGACATGTAACTAGTAAATTATCCCACGCCCTTGTCCCGGCTGGGGCGGTGCCCCGCTGGTGGGAGGTACCTGGTTGTTTGAAACCCCGCTAGACGTCGGTAGGTCGGCGCCGGATCTCGCAATCAAGCGGGGGAAGATTTCCGCCACCTCCCGAGAAAAACATGCAATACACTTACGCGACTGATGGCTTCAGTAGTTGACGCACCCGGAATCACTATACACCAACCTACCAACCTTGTTTATATTATTACCTAAAAGATGGGTTACGCAGAACTTCATATTATATATCCAGTGAGTCTGGAAGTCGAGTTCCGGTCAATTTTGCCATTTCACATTTCCTCGTTTCATAACTATGCACATTTCTGTACTGTCCAGTGATTCTTCACGTCGCCATCGAGAAATTCCATGTTTGCACTCGTCGGCTTTTCAAATATGATTTGTGTGTGCACTTCTAGGCGAATGTTTGAACGATGTTTTTGAGTGCGCCGCGAGGGATGTATGAATGCGATTAAATTACGACAGAAAGAGGTACTGATTACTTCGCGCTCTAAATATCTGTTGTATGAGCGCCCGATGAGATAGGTCAAGAGTGTAAATGTTCCATGATGTGGTATGTTCACAAGCAGACAAAATAACTAGTACTTGGTTTGTGAGTAATTCGGAATGATGATAATTATGATTAAGTTTGAATTGATTTATTTTGATTTAATGAAGTTTCAATTTGATAAGTTCTTCTAGGTTCAATTAGATAATTGCTCCAAAAGTATGTTTTAAGAAAAAGGCAATGAGTTTATATTATTTTAATAAAATTTTTAAAATTTTGTTTCTTACCTGCATTTATCAACATTTTAAAGTTGCTAAAATCACGATATTCACTTTAAACGTTTCCACATATTACAGTTGAAGAATTTATTCAATTTGTTAAACTGGTATTCGATATCTTTAAATTTCATTTTGTGTTCATTTCGTAATTTTGAAAGGAAATTAGAGAATGGAGAAGTGCTCCTCTTCCCCATTAACAAGATTTGAAGAAGACGTCCTCCTTATCTTCTTTCAATCTGTCAGCTAAATATCACGTATGACATTAAAATTAAAAGCTATAAGAAACGCACTACGTGTACTTTCTTCGTTGCTTCAAGTGTCAAATTCGTTGAAGGTGGCGGAACCGAAGCACTTAAAGCGTTAAATCGTTCATACTTGCCATGAACAGAGGTGGATTTATATGACAAATTTTCACCTCTCCGTTATTTAATGCGTTAAAAGATTTAAATTTGATTTTTTGGCATTCTTATTCAAAATAAAACAGTTTTACTGAGTACATAAATTCATATTTTTTAATTTTATAATTACATATACATTTATTGCGTGGTCAGGCGTTAGTAATTTTTTCAGAACTATTTTGCGTGGTCGCGCGGAAGAGTAGGCTTCATGGCCTGAGCCTCGCCACGGAAAATCAGGCATCATTGAATTGAATTTATCAACTTGGTTATTTTTTTAAAAATCCATTATTTCAAAAATAATATGTTTGGGAGTATTATTTTTCAGGATATTCTTATATCTTCATTTTATGAAAAGTGTTTTTTTGGAAGACTACTTTTTTATTCAGACATGTAATTCAACATATATTTCAACATGTAATATTTTTGCTCCGTTCTCTCTGCACAAACCACGTTCAGTAAAGTAGGTCTGGAATTTCTAATCTGAATGAGTAGCTGTGTCTCAACATGTAGTGTTTCAGAGAATTCCGTGAATTTTACCTCTGCTTACGTCAGTTTGCATTGTATTTGTCGTTTTTTACGAATATAGCAGTTACAAAGTCACGCATTTTTTCTTTTACGTCATAGAAATTCGCCTCTATTCATGAACAACAAATCTGTGATAATGATGTTGGCAAGTGAAATCACATCTCTAGAAGAGGGTGCGTGCTCTCAAGTTTCGCTTTTGGCCAGATACCGCATTTTAATTTCACACCTTACAAAACTCTCCACTTGAACCAAGCACACATCAAGGTGTTGATAATTAGTTTTGCATTACAATTCTAAAAGTAAGTAAGTGACACACGCTGAATAAAACTAGTGTATTCACACAAATTGTCAGAAATATTTACCGTGAAAAACATAACACGCACTATTTATTGTTGTGTTCACCCATCACACATGTATTAATTACTCATCATATGTGAACGCCTACGTGTTACCCGCCAAAACAAGCTCCCACCCTTTTACCTGTGCTTACGTCAGTTTGCATTGTACAATTCACTTTCAAAGCGCTTCCTACACAGATATTATCCTTCATCGATTAGTCCGCTTGTACTCATTGTGGACAGTGCTGCGTGACGGCGATTTGGGGAACTATTACATCGTCTCTCGAAGAAAAGTAAGGTTGAAATCGACAAAATCGAGGGTACGTATATATAGCCTCTCGAAAGCGGGATATTCTAAAATGCACACTACATTTGATTTGACAAAATGTACGCTTTGCGAAGACTTATAAAAATTGCAATGTATTACTTTACAAAATGTAACAGCATAAATGTGCAGAAGAGACATATCAGTGAAACTCAAATGTTATACACAAATGAAAATGTCCGTTAGAGATAATCATATGTCGTATGAATGCTGTTTTAAGGTACAGCTTATCTAATGTTACCCGACCGAATGGTAAGAAAATTGCTCAGGTGTTATCATGACTAATTTAAAATCTATAATACTGAAGGTAAAGTTACTATCTACCTCATGGTCAACCCGAATTGGTAAAAAAGTGTCTTACAACTATTTCTCGCTGACCTCGTGAAGTCTCACACAAGTTATTTTACAAAATACGAGATGATCAAAGTGATTTGATATTTTACTGAGATGTTGTTGCTTGTTGTTGCCTTTAATATAGATTTCTACTCTGTAGTTAATACGCTGCTTAACATACCTGACTCGAGAGGATCGTAGTTATGAGAGAAATATGAAAACAGTTGAATGATTCTCCATGTTCTCTTACAGAGAAAATTATGAAAGGGATTTATAGGAAGTTAATGCAAAAAGTCAAAGAGATTCGTGTGAACATCTACATAATTAGTAAATAAGTAAAAGTAAGTCATTAAAATTACGTAAAAAATAAAACCTTGTATGTATCATTGGCGTTAACTGGGTTCTAATTACCTCGGGCGACAAAAAGTAGTCAGGTCGAAGGCCGTCTTTTTTTGTCGCCAATCGATCATTAGATCTCTTATAATGCCTTCGGAACATAAATAGTGCTACACTGCACAGTGTGTGTATGTGTGTG